GAAGTCCTGGATGGACACAGAGCGCCGAAGGGGTATGCTCAGCGGCCAGACCAGACCACTCTTTCCGCTCTGTTCGCGACTGCAGCAACCCCCTGAAGACTTTCTTCAACAAACCGGAGAGCTGGGTGAGCCCCACCAAAACAGGAGGGAGATAAATCCTCCCTCTATCTGGGTGTTATATGAGGGGTCGAGACAGATGAGCATTTGATTTGCCAAAAACGGAGAGAGAAGGCTGGGCGACGGTGGCTCATACCTGTAATTCCAGCATTTTGAAAGGTCGAGTGGTGGTTTTCTCTGAGGTCAGGGGTGTCGAGAGAGCCTGGCCAACGTGGGAACTCCAGTCTCTACCAAAGCACACAAAATGAGTCAGGGTGTGGGGTTGCACTCCTGTACTCTCAGCTACTTGGCAGGCTGAGGCAGGAGTATCACTTGAAACCTCGGAGGGGAGTTGCAGGAGATGAGATCGCACCACTGCACTCCAGCCTGTGGCAAATAAGAGCAAAACTCTGCCTAAAAAAGAAAAAAAAAAATGGAGAGACGGAGAGTGAGAGAGGAGAGAGAACATGGTGCTCCTTACGCCCCTGGGCCATGGGACTGCTCAAACTGCAGTTAACACAGGAACAAGCACTGTACCAGGAATTCGCATCATCCAGAGCGGCAGCTGTGACACAGGACGGCTCTGTTCAGCTGGACCCAACAGAACGCCACTCCGGAGAACTAGGAGTAAACAAAGTTTGGTGTTCAGCAGAGGTCATGAAGAGCAAACAACGGCGCTTGATGTGGAACCCCACAGTGGTGTGGTTATGGAGGAAATACAGTGTCCTGCTCAGTTGACTACCTCACTGGGTCCCAGAAATGCACCCAGGGGATTGCAGCGGCCAGTGAGCCACTGGCCCCCAAAATAGAGGGCTGCCCCAGAAAGTACATCCCAAGTGCTGCTGATCGGATAAATACCTCCTGAGGGATGATTTTGACCACGACATGGAAGATTATCTTGAGAAAGTCGCAAGGGCATTGCGTGCCCATGGGTAGCAGGAAGAGCCCCGCTGGAAGCCACAAGTCACTGGACTTTCGTGCTTGGCCTCAACCTGCCATGTGACCTGGAGCAGTGCTTGGCCTCTCCTTAGTGGATAAGGCTGACACTTTGGAAAGGTGATAATGCCTATACTTGCCCATGCTTGATATTGTCTGTTACTGGGCACCTTCTGTAATGTGACCTCGCTAGCAAGCAAGGTGGGGTTCTTGAGCTATGTGTTGCCCATCCTGCAGACGAGAAAAGGGCTCAGTAGGCCACGGACACATGCTCAGGAGAGTGGGGGGGGAGTTGTCTGCCGTTACTCTCCAAAACTCAGGATTTGTGGACTCAAGTCATTGCATTTTCTGTGACCCCCACAGGTCACCTCCAAAATACGGTTCAAAGTATGTCACACTGTTGTGGTGCTACGGCAATGTAGCAGCTCCCTCTCATCCTGTGAGTCTTGGACTCAAAATCAGCGGAGCTGCTCCGGGAGATCCAAGGGGAGATCAGCAGGGACCTGTCTCCAGGTGCTCGCGCCAGGATCAGTAAGAGTGGAACTGGCAGCCATAATTGCTTTTGGAAGCCATTATCTTTAAGTGCTACTACCCAGGTAATTTGGCCTGACAGCTGACCACGTGGTTGCCTTCCAACCCTTACCTCACATGTCGCCAGCAGCACAGCGAAGTCAGGAGGCAGGATGGGCTCCGCCCCGTGTGCATCCATCATGGAGGCTGCGATGAGTGGAAAGACGAAACTTCATTCCAGCCTTTGGCTCCCAGTCAGAATGCACCTTTCTTTATTTACTCTGTTGAGTCCCAGAAAATGGGAGAAACTGGCCCATTTTTCCCTTATAGGCTACTATCTCAAAGCTGAGGGGACACTGCCACATCTTACAACATGATGTAGTCTCAACGAATTTTGGTTCAATATTTCTCTGTGCTTTCCTTTTCGCCAGGAGAGGGAGGCCAATCTCTTCCCTCCTCAACCCATTCTCAGCTCATCTCTGCCAATGCTCTTGGTTCTGCAGAAGGGGCAGCCAAGGCCAGAGCAGAGGATGGGTGGGATGAGAACCTCCACGGGGGCGATGAACCCCCCCCCCCCCCCCCCACCTCCCTGCCGGAGAGCACACGCCTGTGTGCTCTGCCCCTTCACACTGGGGTCTGGCTTAACAGAGCAGCAGCTTGCACCATGCCTGGGACCTGGTAGCTGTCGTCTGGACTGAGACAAACCCTGGATCAGTTTGTAACCAAGTTCTAGACTAGCTTCAGAATTCCCCAGAAGTTCGCAAGGGGCCATGGGATGTGGCAAGAAAGGCTTCAGGGAGCCCAACCAAGCAGAGGAGGAGCAATAGCTTTAGGTGGGACCCTGCACGCACCACCCAAACATCCCTGCGTCCCAGTCACCTGGGCCGCTTCCCAAGGGACAGAGCGGGGGAGCTGTTGGGACACACACAGAAAGAGCAGACCTTCGTTGATAAGCGCTGGGGAGCCGAGGACTCCGGTTACAAGCTGCTGGAATAAATGAAATCCAATTCCACTTCCTCTATTTTTTTCCTTTTTTTTTTTTTTTAAGAGATGGGGTCTTACTCTGTTGCCCATGCTGGAGTGCAGTGGCGGCAATCATAGCGTCACTGCAGCCTCAACTCTTCTAACTCAAGTGATCCTTGCTACCTTGGCTTCCCTGATGTGTTGGATTATAGGCACGAGCCACCACGCTCAGGTCCCACTTCTATTTCTCTGCTGGCCTATGGGTCCTCCTGCCATGGTTAGGACCATCAGAGAGAATCCTATGAGTTACCCACACTAGGTAATATCAGGGATCTCCCATACGTAAACAGTACAACACACACCACACACACACCACACACACACACACACACACAAACCACCACAGGCCGCGATGCACACTGCACACTGCTTTACTGGAGCACTACTCACAACTACAGATAAAGCTTTTTCACCATACTTCACTGGGTTATAAAACATCACCATGGAGGGTAACACGATTTATGATTGGAACATGAAATACAATTTGTGAAAGTTAGAGTTACTGCTGTAAGTCTTTCTTGGAGAGATCAAGCTTCATGCAAGGTGGGCCTGAGGGCTGAAAGGGGAGGAAGAAGGGGCACCCCAGAATCGGGACAGGACCCTGAGTCAGAGCCCGGGAGGGTGGTAGACAGGTCACTCCTTCACATGTCTGCACAAGCCAGCTCTGGCCCCACATGCCCCGGGAACCAGCCAGAGAGGCGGGATAGGGTGACTGACCTGTCGCTCCATGACCCGTTCCACTCAACCTGGCCCCAAGGGTTCCGGACTCGGATGAGCTCAATTCTCTGACCTCGGAAGTTTACCTAGAAGAGAAAAGCATGAGGGAAGTGTGAGATGATAAATATGATGGACGTTTGGCCACATTCATCCATGAGCTCCAGGTGGACCAGCTCCATCCAGGACTGGTTGTTGAAAAGTCTCTTGCCTAAAACACTGCTGAAGGTATGTAAAAGTTCGCCAGTTCTTAACCAGCCCTTGGAACCTTCTAATTCCTATTGAATAATTGCTACTATTGCCAAAGATACTATATTAGGCACCAAAATGCTTATGCCACATCTGGGAAGTAAAGTGGAATTGTAATTAACAAGAAATTAGTCCATGTGAATCTAGAAATGGATGGGTTTCTCTCTAGACTGGGATCTCCCTAGAGGCAGGAGCCAAGTCTTAGGCGTCTTCAACATCTAGTAGAGTGAATGGTAAAAAGTAGTCCTCAAAGATGCTCATGGAACTATTACTGAACTTTCTTCATCCTAGCATCCCATGCACAGATGAATGATACGAAAATAAGCACATGCTGGGAATTTAAACACAACAATAAACAAAAAGAGCTTTTACATCTTCGAAACCCAATATTCTCCTTGTTTCAGGTATCTATGAGGATTCCTGCTGTTTACCTCAACCATCCTTGAGCCAGTGTACCCTCAGGCTCTGCCTGGGAGCAGGGACAAGGGTCAATGCATTTGAGAAGGGTTTTGGAGGAGAGAGAGTGAAAGTAAAAGACTTCTAGTTATCGACTAACCAGAAGCTGTAGCAGTCAGAACATTTTATCCTCATGCATTTGGCATAAATTATATTTTGGATGTATAAAAATTCAAGTAACATCAACTCTTCAGAGTCCAAGATGTGGCTTGTGGCTCACCATTTAAGGAGCTCATTTAATTTGAAAGGTTCAGGGCAGGTGAGTTCCTTGTAGGGGCAGAGGAAGCAAAATCAAGCAAACTAAGATGATGGGGGGTTTCTGTTGTTATGTGGAATACGTAGAAGATCTAAGCTAGAAAATCACACGCCCACTTGAGTGACCGACCTGCAAGTCACGTATGGACGGGGAAGGAAGACAAAGGAACCAACACAAATAGCTAACATTCTAAAGAATCCCAAAGAGTCCAACTGCATCTCACACGTTGGCTTCAGTGAGGAGGAAGGACAGGGCCTCCTTTCTGTGTTCTTTACTGCCCATACATTCAGCCGATGTCACTCAACATGTGGGTGGCTACAGAAGAACAGGGGCACCTGTGCCTTTTGAGTGCTGGGCTTGAGACTGGTCCAGGGGAGGTATGGAGTGGGCAAGGCAGGCTTCTGGGCTTTGCTGAGCTTGAGTCTGGGAGAGTGATACCTTTGGCTTCGTGTCTTCCTCTTTCATCCTATTCTTTATTTCTCTTCCCCTTGTGCCCCTCAAGGATCTCTCCTCCTAACCAACCACTCCCTTGAAGTCAGGGTGGTGCTGTGTGGAGTCTGGGTGTTCTCAGGATCAGTTCCACCTGGGCTACAGCTACAGAGAATGGGATTTGTGGTGATTAATTTTATGTGTCAACTTGACTGGGCCATGGGGTGCCCAGATATTTGCTTCAAGGTTATTCTGGTTGTGTCTGCAAGGGTGCTTCTGGGTGACACGAGATTTAAGTTGATTGAGTAAAACAGATTGCCCTGCCTGGTATAGGTGGGCCTCATCTCATCTGTGAAGACCTGACTAGAACAAAAATGCAGAGGAAGGGGGAATTCCCTCTCTCTGCCTGGGTTCCTGAGCTGGGACATCAATCTCTCCTGCCCTCAGACTGGGACTTTTACCATTGGTGTTCCTGGTTGCTAGGCCTTCCTTTTAGACTCAGACCGGAACTATGCCACTGGCTTTCTTGAGCCTCCAGCTTGCAGACAGCAGATCACGGGACCTCTCACTCTTCACAGTTGCATGAGCCAACGCCTTACAATAAATCGTATTACTGTTGATCCTGGAACAATGTGGGGGGTTGGGGCGCCAACCCTCCTGCATTGTCAAAAAATCTCGTATTCCCTAAAACTTAACTCCAAATAGCCTACCATTGACCAGAAGTCTTACTGATAACATAAAGAACCAATTAACACATGTTCTATAATTATTTATATTGTATACCGTATTCTTACAATAAACAAGCCAGAGAAAAGAAGTGTTATCAAGAAAATCATAGGGAAGAGGAAATACATTTACTATTTATTAAGTGGAAGTGGATCGTTGTCAAGGTCTTCATCCTTATTATCTTCATATTGAGTAGGCTGAGGAGGAAGAGGAGGAGTTGGTCTTGCTGTCTCAGGGATGGCAGAAATTGAAGAAAATCCCCACATAAGTTCAAGCCTGTGTTGTTCAAGGGTCCACTGTGTGATGTAGATAGATAGATAGATAGATAGATAGATAGATAGATAGATAGATAGATAGATATGTGTGTGTGCTTAATTGTATGTACGTATATTTGGTTCCCTAGTGATTCTATTTCTCTGAAGAATCCTGATTAACACAGGACTGATGGAGAATTGGGAAAGAAAGGAAATTAAAAATAAACAAAGAACAGACGCTTCCACCTGCTAAACGAGTTTTGTGCTGCGGTGGAATCACACGGTTTCTCTCTTTCCTGGCTTGCCGTTTTGAATTCCAGCCTGCCTCTTTAGGTGTCCCTGAAATGTCTGAAAGGCAGACATTTAAACTGCAACACACTGAATAAATGCCTAAGGGACTAGCATTATCATGCATCTCCCCTCACCCTGCGGTTGGAATTCAAGTCACCTACCTGGTCAATTCCCGTTACACTGTAGGCGTGACCCTTAATAAGACCGAATGGCGTCCGGGCCTCAGATTCCGCAGCACTTCCGGTCTAAAACATGGCAAGAGCAGAGTCACACGCACCGTCTAAGTCAAGCTTCCCCTGGTGGATCAGACCCGGCTACAGGCCTGGCCTGGTCACAACCTCCAGCCCCTTCTGCTGCCCCAGGTGCAGGCCATGTGCGTGGGCTATGCACAGGACTCCCCTAGGATGTTTAGCAGTGAAATGCAGCAAGTTCCAGTCTCTTCCCAGGATGGGGAGGCGCTCGTTCCCAGTGTGGACTCCAAGGAACAGTTCACTATTGTGTCCCCAAACAGAACAACTTGTCACCTTCATGTAGTATAGTGTGAGAGAGAAGACACAATCACATACATCCCAGAGACGAAAAAGAAGCATATAACAATAGGACACACAGCTCTGCGTCACAAACCTGAAAGTGCAGAGGAACTGGCTAATTCATTAGCGAAAAACAGACCCCACGGCTAATCTAAGAGGAAACAGAAAACTAGAACTGATTAAAAAAAAAAATACACAGTGTCATAGCAGTCCATAAAAAACAACAAAAAAATTTTAAAAAGATGAGATAAAATTATAAATGTGTGTGTTAAAATACCATTAGACTTCTATCTGCTATTTTTTCATAGTATATGAAACGAAAAAAAAAAAACTTCAGAAAACTAGATAGAAAGATTGCATTTCAGTAAAATCAAACCAACTGACCTTGATGTTTGTGTGTGGACGTGTGTGCCTGTCTGTACGAGCAGAGAGAGAGCTGGGAAGGGTACAGGCCAGGTGATCCCAGTCCCAGGGTGGAGCTGGAGAACAGAGGCAGCTGAGAAATGGGTGGGAAGGAGGTAAAAATGCACCTGTATGGGTCTCAAGATTGTTCCATCTGATAACAGCAAGTACATCTTACCTTTGTCATTTGACAACCATTAAATAAAAACTCGTGTTTTATTTGTTATTTGTTTATTAGAGACAGGGTCTTGCTCTGTCACCCAGGCTGGAGAGCAGTGACACGATCATAGTTCACTGCAGCCTCAAACTCCTGGGCTCAAGGGATCCTCCTGCCTCAGACTCCAGACACACACCACCATGCCTGGTTAAAATTTGTGTTTTAATTAGCAGGAATAAACACTGCCCCCCAAGAGTTATGCCCCTTCTTAGGTGTGGCTGGGGTACCTGGTGCAGACTGCAGCCCCAGCATACTGCCTGGAATGGGAGCTCATGAGCGACTTACATCAATGAAGCAGCCCAGCAGGGAGCCTCTCTTCAAAGCCTTCTCTAGAATCTCATAGAAGTTCTCCGGGGCCTCTTTCATTTGGAAGGTCTCTGCCACACCCCCGGTGAAGTCTTCCATGGCCTCGATGGCGCTGCCTCCCTTCAGAGCTTCATAGCTCCCATTTAGCCTGCAAGGGTGGCAGGAGAGAGAGGAGACAGTCAGGGACCTAGGGAGGCCACCGGGGGCACCCTGCAGTCAGAGCTTTTCTAACTAAGCCAGAAGCATCTCCCAGGGTTTGTCCTGGCTGGGTGGTGTGGAAGGAAGATGGGAAGCAAGCATCAGGGTTTGCTTGGACCTTTGAGGAAGCCAAAGATCCTGAGCTTCCTGCAAGGGAGGCAGTGTGGTGTGGTGGTATAGAGCAGCAGCCCTGGTGCCTGAGTGGCTGCAGGTTCAAATCCTAGTTCTACGACTTACCATCTGAATGACCAGGTCACTCAGTGCCTTAGTTTTCTTATACGCAAAATGAGGGAGAGTTGTGCTCTCCCTTTTAGGACTGCTGTGAGGTTCAAATGCTGTGTTTCACTCTGCAGTCTCCCATGGAATGGAGCAGGGCCTGACTATGTGGACAGAGAGAGGCCCTTTCTCTTCTCTGGTCTCATATACCCCTAACCATTTTCTTTCATAGTCATCTCTTTTATTCATAGGCATTTTACATGTAAGTGCTCTGCTTGATTGTTAAATAAGCTTTTCGATGTGGAATTTTAGAATCTGGTGGGAGGCGATTGAATTAGGGAGGTGGGTCTTTCCTGCACTGTTCTTGTGATAGTGAATGAGTCTCATCAGATCTGATGGTTTTAAAAACGGGAATTTCCCTGCCCAAGCCCTCTTTGCCTGCCACCTTCCACGTAAGATGTGACTTGCTCCTCCTTGCCTTCTGCCATGATTGTGAATCCTTCCCAGCCACGTGGAACTGTGAATCCAATTGAACGTCTTTCTTTTGTAAATTGCCCAGTCTTGGGCATGTTTTTATCAGTAGTGTGAAAACAGACTTAATAATTAACAGCTTATTTGGGCTCCCTTAGTTTCTACCTAATGTCTTTTTTCTGTTCCAGAATCCCACTCAGGACCCCACATTGCACTGAGTCCTCACGTATCCTCAGGCTTTTCGTGGCTGTGACAGTTTCTAATACTGTCCTTGTTTTTGATGACCTTGACGGTTTTGAGGAGGCCTGGGCAGGCATACTGCAGGATTAGAATTTGTCTAATGTTTTTTCTCATGATAAGACTAGGGCTATTAAAGAAATGATAAATGCTTAAGGTGATGAGTGTCTCAATTACCCTGATTTGATAATCACACATTGTGCGCTTGTAATCAGAATATAAAATGTGCACCATCAATATGTACGCTATTACACATCCATAAAAATAAAAAATGAAAAGTTTTTAAAAACTAAAAAAAATAGCTGGGTGTGGTGGTTGGTGCCTGTAATCCCAGCATTTTGGGAGGCTGAGGCAGGAGAATCACTTGAGCCCAGGAGTTCCAGGCTGCAGTGAGCTATTACGGTGCCACTGCACTCTAGCCTGGGTGAGAGAGCAAGACGCTGTCTCTAAAAAAAAGTTAATAATAATTTTTTTTAAAAAAGAGTAGAGCTATTGGTTAGTGGAAGGAAGACCAGAGAGGTAAAGCTCCCTTCTCATCTCATCATATCAAGGGCACCTGCTGTCCACATGCCTTACCACGGCTGATGCTGGCCTTGATCACCTGGCTAAGGTAGTGTTAGTCAGGTTTCTCCACTGGAAAGTTGCTCCTTCTCTCCCCTTTCCATACTGAACTCTTTGGAAGGAATCATTATGTGCAGCCCGCATGAAAAAATTAGGGAGTTATGCTCCACCTCTCAAGGATGGAATATAAACATAATCTTTTGGAATTATTCTACACAGGATATTTGTTCCTTCTTCCGCATTTATTTATACGATCATTTACTCAAAGTAGTATGGACCCATTGATATTTATTTTCTACTTGGGTTTATTTTGTGGTTTTTTTGTTTTGTTTTGTTTTTGTTTTTGAGATGGAGTCTTGCTCTGTTGCCCAGGCTGGAGTGCAATGGCGTGATCTTGGCTTACTGCAACCTCCACCTCCTGGGTTCAAGTGGTTCTCCTGTCTCAGCCTCCCAAGTAGCTGGGACTATGGGCGCCCACCACCATGCCCGGCCAGGCTGGTCTTGAACTCCTGACCTCAGGAGATCCACCTACCTCGGCCTCCCAAAGTGCTGGGATTACAGGTGTGAGCCACGGCACCCGGCCTCTACTTGGGTTCATAATCCAGTACTGCTTTGTCTGTTTTGTTGGTTGAATTCTTCTAGCTTTGGCTGTTTGGAGCTCCTTCAGCATGCTCTTGTGTCCTTTTGGCATAGCCTTATTTGTGTGTGTGTGTGTGTGTGTGTCTTGCATGTATTCTCACTTTCTGGGACTATAAGATGACCTAGGCTTATTTTACGTATGTATGCATGTATGTATGTATGTGTGTATATGTATGTATGTATGTGTGTATGCCCCAGTCCTAGAATTTGCCTTATCTCCAAGAAGCTCTAGTTCCTTTGATTGAAGAATGATCTTAGAAACCAAGACTTGAGACATAGGTGTGCTTGTTGCTACAGGATTGTCATTGCTTCTAGCTCCTCTCACTGACAAAGCAAGGAAATATATATGTGTATGATAACCCAAGTATAGATCAATATATATGTGTATGATAACCCATGTATAGATCCATGTATCTCTATGTAACCATCTCTATTAAGCTATATCTAAGTTAATTCTGGAATCTCCAACTCTAATCTGCATGGATCATTCTGGCCTCCTCCCCTTGCCTATCTGTAACCTCTCAATCCAATAGAGAGAAACTCGGTTCCTGCTGTCCACCCTCCATTCACTCGATTGTTCAACTCAGTATGTGTGTATAATTAGATCAATTTTTCATTTGTATTCCTTTGAGAAACCACTTTAGCAACTAGAGCACAGCACTCACGTACAATTTCTTTTGCTTTTAATCTTACAGATTCCACTAATTTCCAAAGTTACTTAGGTCAGCACCTTTCTTTCCAACCCCTTAGGTGAGGTTATTTCATACATTTGAAATTGGCTTTCATAGTTAGGGAGGCCAAGAAATCTCACAATCTGCCATTTGCAAACTGGGGAACCAGGAAAGCTGGTGGTATCATTCAGTTTGAGTCTGAAGGCCTGAGAATCAGGGGGTTGATGATGTAGTCCAAGTTTGAGTACAAAGGTTTGAGAACCAGGAGCTCCAATGTCCGAGGGCAGGGGAATATGGATGTCCCAGTTGAAGTGGGGGAGGGAATTCACCCTTCCTTTGTCTTTTCCTTTTATTTGGATCTTTAACAATTTGAATAATGCTCATCCACATTGGTGGCAGCAATCTTCTTTACTCAGTCTACAGATTCAAAAGCTATTTTCTCCAGAAACATCCTCACAGAAACACCCAGAAATAATGCTTCACCAGCTATCTGGGCATCCCTTAGCCCAATCAAGTTGACACATAAAACTAACCATAACACCATCTATACATTTTTTTTTTTTTTGTGAACTGTTCTGCCAACCATTTTTGGCCTTTTTAGAGGACCCTAATAAACCTTTTTTATGTTTAGAAACTAGATGATGCACAGTTTCTGTTGCTTTGCTTGCATCCTGTTGTGTGGGGCACTCACCAGAGGGCAGAGCTGGGCTTGGGTTCCACCTACTGGACTCAGAAACAGTGCCCTGTGTCCCCTTAGGCCTGTCTAGTGGCACTGATGGTGTTTGCACAGACCTGGGCGGGACAGAGGGCAAGCGTGGGCATCTTTGGTTCTTCTTTGATGGTTTTAATTCTGTCCTGCTGAATTCAGGATTAATTTAACCACAGTATGCCTTCACTCTATTTTTGCCACTTTCATGCCCCACTTGGAGGTAGAAGCAAGACCATCCTTGCTTCTGTCTCTGGGGATAGGATTCTCATGGCTTGAAGATCCAGGCTGAACCTGAAAGTGGCTCCCAGGAGCTCTGCCATCATCTGTGGATCGAATTCAGGCTGCTGTGGCCTTTCACTAACAAGCTAGTGGGCTGCAAATTGACAGCCTGAGGAAACTGAGGCCATTTGGCTGGTGATTAAAAATGAATGTCTTGGTTCCACTTATATGAGGTTCCTAGACTAGTCAAATCATAAAAGCAGAAAGTAGAGTGGTGTAGCCAGGGGCTGGGGGAAGGGAGGAATAGGAAGTTATTGGTTTATAGGGACAAAATTTCAGTTTTGCAAGATGAAAAAGTTCTGGAGATAGATGGTGGTGATGGCTGCACAACAACGTGGACGTACTTAACGCCACTGAACTGCACACTTAAAAATGGTAAAATTTATGTCACATACATTTTATCACAATTTTTTAAAAATAAAAAAGAAGCATCCTGTAGGATGGACAATCGGTGTCTCTATATCCATGTGGGTGACAGCCCAGATGTTTGAGCCATGCCAGTGTCCAAGAGAAGTCTGAGGCATTAAGTGCTGTCGGCACAGCCAGAATTCCCCTCCGCTTGCCTTCCCAGCTCTTCCAAAGGTCAGATTCATGACCCAGGGAGACAAAGGGTCATGAATGTAGCCACCGTTCCCAAAGATGGGCACATCTAGGCCATGACAGGAAACCCACCTCCATCCCCTCTTGAGCCCTGAGAAGGCTGGGTCCTGCCGAGCCTCACCTGCAAACCCAGAGCCCTGTTTTTTTCCCAGCCCTTAGATGCCCAAAGGCCAGTGGAAAGACTCCTGTCGGGAGGCTGCCCAAGCTGGGGAAGCTGTCACTCACTTGGCGTAGGCTTTTTCCAGCAAGGCGCTCCAGAACTCATTGTGGTCAGCAGAGTGGAGGAAAACCAAGCGGTCCCTGAAGGTGGGCAGGCGGTCATCGATCACCACATCCAGCCACTCACTGTGCTGCCAGAACTGTTGCCCAGGAAAAAGACAGAAATGATGGGAGTCAGCTACATGGGAGCTCCAGGCCCTATTTGTAAATGTTGATCCTGTTGCTTTTTTCCCCTCTGACCAAGCTACCCATAGACAGCTTTGGAAATCACACACAGGTTCCATGGTAGGGCATCTGGGCTTTGTCCGCTAAGTTACAAGCTGAGCATTGTACCCAGTACCAACCACTGACATCAGTTCAAAGACTCAAGGTCAACCCATCAAGGCTGCGGGCAAGGGGGAGGCAGAACAGGAGTCACAAGTAGACACTCTACGGTGCTCTGAATTAGTTTTTCTTCTTCACAAGAAAGTTGTTTTTGTGGGGGAGGGAGAATGTATTGTGGTGTTTGAGTTTGCTGTTTTGCAGCCCAGTTCTCCATTATTCTCTCCCACCCAGTTTCAGGGTCTAGCTCCAATTTGCCTTAATCTTGCTTCCTCCTCACCCATAAGTGGAGCCCCTAAGACTGATTTGTTGGCCATTCACACAGGAGACAGGTGGACTCAGTATCTCCTGTGTGCCAGGTGAGGAGGCGTGAGGAGAGCGTGGCTGTGTGTGAATGCATATATGTGCACACATGTGTATACACGTGCATGCAGGCAGGCATGACAGGTATGTGCACTCTTTGTGGTTTATTTATACATTGCATGTGTGCAAGCATGTGTTTGCTCACATGTGTGCAAGTGTGTGCATACAAGCACATGCATGTTTACATATGTGTATGTATGCACACATGTGTTTGCAAGTGCTTCTACACACGTGTGTGCTTGAGCACATGTATGCATGTGTGTGAGCTTGTGTGTGGTCTGCTGGGAACAGGAAGGAAGGTTGGAATGAGTCAAGGACCATGTGTAGTTTCTCTGTGTATCCTGCGGTGACCCACCTCCTCCCCGTTCCTTCTGGTTCAGTTGGCCGGAGAGCAATCCTAAGGTAACCTCTAAGAGTAAGAAGATAGAGGTCGAAAGAGGAGGGTAGGCACAGTGTTTTTGGGAGCCATTTATTTACAGCTTTGCTGTGTCATCCTGAGCATCTTGCTGCATCAGTGATTCAACCCCAATCAAAAGAGTTGGCCACAGTGTGGCTGAGGGTGTGTGTGCGCGTGTGTGTACATGTGTGTGTGTTTTAAGGAAGATTCCTGTCACCTGCTCCAGCTGGGCCTCCCCTCCGGGGCTTCCCACTCTTGGGGCTATCCACAGCTTCAGGTGGGACTGAGGCACAGTTGGGTTAGGTGTTTAAAGTCCAGGCCTGGGCCCTGGGCTTCCTGAGCAGGGGAGGGGTGGGGAGGAGCCTCAGTGCTGGCTTTCCTTGCAGAGGGGCTGGCTCAGGAGGCCTGTGAGTCAAGAGAGATGTATCCACCAGCCCCGAGAGCTCCGCTAACTTCCTAGCACCCACACACCTGTACTGTGGCTGAGGGGTGGAAGAGGAGTGTGAAGGAGGTGGATTTATTTCCAGTGCTCTGCTTCCTAGGAGGCCAAGGAGGGGAGTGGGCAGAGTATGGTTACTGTGGGACTGACAGGCACCAACAGGTTCATTCCTCCCCACCACCTGATCCCTGGCAGCACAAAAGGATGCTGGATCCCAAACCCCCGAGTTAGAGGTCTGGCTTGGCTACTTATTGTTTTGGAACCCTGGATCAACCACTTCCACTCCCTGGGACTCAGTGTCCTTGGGGGTCAATGAAAGGACTGGGTCAGGGGATTGCCAAGGCTCCTCCCAGCTGTGACATTTAAGGGACAAGAACACTGGTCCCTTGGGAGCCCAAGATCATTTGGTGATGGTTCCGGTTTAGAGGCAGTAGTTCCGCTGGATTTTCTGAGCTTAACCACCCCCAACACTGCCACCTGGTGGGCTCAAGAGGACTGGAGAAAGACCAGCTCCTGGAGGTGCCATCAAGCCAAGACTGTGGTCTCAGCAGAAGTCACAGGAGGGGAGGGGAGACAGCCAGGCGGTGGCAGGTCTGTGAGAGAGCAGGGGTAGAGTTTCCCTGGGACCCAAAGTGTCTCTGTCCACCTCCCCCCACCCCCCACCCCCGACCCCCACCGGTGCAGGAGGCCCGACCCCTGGGAATTGCATGCTCCCGAGCGACACGTGGTCGGCTCGCTGTCTGTGCCTTTGAAATGCTTCTGTGCCATTGGTGACAGGGCTTGAGAGTACCTCTGTTTATCAGAATGCAGGCCTCAGGGACAGAAGAAACGGGCTGGCCCTGAGTGGTGACCTGTGAGTCAGGAGAAGGTGACACTGTCTGGGGTGCAAGGTCAAGGAATGCCTACTTGGTGCCTGGCTCTGTGCCGGCTCCTATGTGTGATGCCATTTAGCTCTACGGGAAGCCTGCGGGGAACAGTCAGTCTCTCCTTTCTTCAGATGAGTGTAGAAAGGCTTAGTGTCACTAACAAAACTGCCTGAGGTCACCCACCTAAGTAAGTACAAGGGGCAAGTTTCAGTATCTGGTCGAACCCTATATAAGGACAAGGGTGGAGGAGAGCGTGGAGAGATAGAAAGTGGAGGTGAAGGAGCAGGAAACCATCTCCGGGGGGCAAGCCTCACCCAATGTGCCCCTCGGTTGAGGGTCTGCGGGTCATACGGGACTCCAGCAGATGCTGTCTGTATTTTTCTCAGTTTTTATTTTTTAAAATCCCTCGAGATGTCCAAATTCACATTTCTTCCATAAGGAGAACCTCTGTGTTTACGAGAAATCAACCAGTTTCCTGGAGGCATAATCAGTTTAGTCAATTTGTGCTTAAAGCACAGGAAATTCCAAATAATAAAACCCTTAACATATGGACCCCAGATTTGCCAAAACATCACTTACAGTTTTACATGTATGTTCCATAAGGATTTGCCGTGCAATGCCGTTAATGTTCTTCGGAGGCATTTAGCTGTTATTCCGTGATAAAATGTGGCTTTAGCATAGTTTAGGGCCATATGTCACGCAGATCTGATGACATTTTTTTCCAGGGTTACTAGACAGTGTGAAAATGCACCTGGCATCATGCTGGACCCCAGAGAGGTAAACCCACTTGCCCAGAGCTCCCTCTTACCTGGAAATGGAATATCCCAGCATAACCAGGGCCAAAGCTTTGGTCCTGGGGGATGACTCTGGCCAGCGCTTTTTGATTAAGCGTAAGGGAGGCAATGGCGGCTAATAGCCAGCAGTCTCCTGCAAAATGAAAGCCATAAATCACAATTTTCATTACTATTTCACAGCAAATAGGAAAACTCTGTGTCAGAAGGGGACATGGGGAGTTTCAGATGTGGCCACATCTTTTCTACCTGTTTAAAAATAGACAGGACACCAACAAATACCTGTCTCCTCCCCTTCTGCCTCCCTTGCCTGCTCTTCTCTTGCCCAGTCTATCATAAACAGCGGTTGCCTTCTTGGCACTGTTATAGGATATGCTTACTTGGGTTTGAGACATATGGCTGCATGATGTCTCAGCTCTGTGAATTCCAGCAACTCCCTTTCCAGAGGACTGAGGCTGCATACATCAGTGTCAGCATGGGCTGGGCGAGCAGACATTTCATAACTGCCGCCCAAGTAGTTAGGCAGTACTGGGGAGGGTGGTTAGAAATCGCCTCTGCAGCCCCAACCCAGACTCAGCTTAATTACACAGATAGTGGTATGTCCGTGGTGGCTCCATTTGCTTTAAATTACCTTGCATTTTCAAGATTTATTGACTGACCTGCTGAACTTCCCAGCTGCGTCTTTATGTTAACACACACCTGGAGGAAAACTAAAAAGTGAAGTCAAACATCAAACCCTATTTTATCTGTGCTATCTGTGCTGTACCAGACTCCTGGATGCATTCCTTTGCCCACACTGAGTGTGGGCTGTGTCTGGTGTGTGCCTGACAGTGTCTCAGATGTTGCCTGTGTAAACAGGTATCTGGGAAGATCCATTTATCCAAATCAGCTTTATCCAGATTCATTTGTTTTCAGTAGACAACACCAATGTCATCGGAACCTAAGAGCCCATCACACTCAGCTTGGCAGTTTCTGAGTTCACATTTCTGGAAAGCGCCGTGTACCATTGGGCTTAGGACATTGCAATATGGCCCTTTCTGGCTGTTTACACAGGCAAGAGAGACTCGCCAGGGCCGAACATCGGGAAAGCTACTTCTGAATCGCCCTGGTTCTGGCTTTCTGGGAGATGTCACCAGCAGAGTACAAGCCACCCCCAGACTTAGCTGGGGCACAGAAGGATTGGTTTCTAATGCATCTGTTGGTCGGCTTTGGGAGATGCCACTAGGGAGTGACATGACTGGAGCCTGCAGGATCATTTATTCAGCAAACTTTACCAAGTGCCTCTAGGGTGGCAGACCTTGTGCCATGCAGAAGATACAAAGATAAGGAGAGACTTGGTGTCTGCTTTCAGCTTCAGGGCGGGGGCCAGCAGGAGTCTGATAGAGTAACCTCTGCTGTGGGCTGACCTTTCCCAGTTCTCCACCCAGTTTCAGCTTCGCCCAGTTGAGGAAAATGAGTGTTTCCTGGCCTGAGAACTCAACACCTCACATGTATTCAGCCAGAAATGCCCTGAGCTTTTCAGGGGGAGATTGAGAAGCCAATGTTATTTATGCAATTTAAAAGAAAGACAAAAACTCCACAACAAAACAAGATTGCTTTTTTCTCTCTTGGGCCTGGGCAGATGGATGGGGCTGGCCACCCAGCTGTGCCTGGGAGAAGTGCCCTCTGCGGGTCAGTGTGTTGCTCGGCTGTCTGGGTGGTGCAGAGCAGAGGGCACTATGGGAGGAGCAGGCTGGAGTGAAGTGGCACCATCTCGGCTCACTGCAGGGGAGAACCCTGTGTCTCTCGGGTTCTCAGGGACCCCATACTGCGGTTGCTCTCCTGATCCAGCAACCCAACCTCCCTCTTGCCATGCTCCATCCCCTCACACTCACCCAGCTCCCCTCTACCTCCCCTGGCAGATAACAGCATGCCTTGATGCTATTCTAGGTGTGTTCTAGTTCTTTTTTTTTTTTTTTTGATAGAGATGTGGTCTTGCTATGTTGCCCAGGCTAGTCTAAAACTCCTGGGCTCAAGAGATCTTCCCACTTCACCCTCCCAAAGCGCTGGGATTACAGGTGTGAACACTGCACCCGGCCAGATGTTCCAGTTCTTATTGTGGGTGGCAAAAGATCACGGCTGTTCATTTTCTTTTATTCTTTATAACGTATATATGCCATGGACAGTACTTTGGGTGTAGTAAGTGTTTCAAAATAATATTTAGAATCAACCATCCACTAAGATAAAATATAAGGTTGTAACTCCAAATATATGTTTATGCCAACGTGACAAACCAAAACTTTGAAAAACAAGGAGCCAGTAGAATGATTTTCTATTAGATAGCCATGGAGGACTACGGGGTCGAGGGGAACGGAGGCAGAGCAGGAGTGGGAGAGGTAGGCAGCGTCAGGGAGGATCTCCTGGAGAAGGACCACCTGAGCATAAACATTGTGAAAAGTCTACATTGTATCTAGAATATGGCACACATGGGGGATTGGTTCCAGGACCCTGGTGTATACCAAAATCTGTGCATACTCAAGTCCCACAGTAAGCCCTGTGGAATCTGCCCATCAAGTCAGCCCTCTGTGTATGCGGGTTTCAAACCCTGGAATAGTATATTTCCTTCCTTCCTTCCTCTTTTCCTCACTCCCTCCCTCCCTGCCTCTCCCTTCCTTCTGTCCTTCCTTTTTTTCCTTTTTGTTTGTTTGAGACAATGTCTTACTCTGTTGTCCAGGCTGGAGTGTGGTGGCACGATCTCAGCTCACTGCAGCCTCAACTTCCCAGGCTCAAGGAATCCTCCCACCTCAGCCTCCCAAGTATCTGGGACTATGGTCACGCACCACCAAGCATGGCTAATTTTTCTATTTTAATTTTTAGTAGAGATGAGGCCTCACTATGTTGCCCAGACTGGTTTTGAACTCCTGGGCTCAAGCGATTCTCCTGCCTCGGTCTCCCAAAGTGCTGAGATTACAGGTGTTAGCCATCACACTTGGCCTGGAATATTGTATTTTCTATCTGTGTTTGGTTGAAAAAAATCCACTTAGAAGTGGTCCTGCACAGTTCAAACTCAAGTTGTTAAAGGGTCAACTGTAATTCTGTCTGTCATCCACCATCTATCTATACCTATCCATCCATGTATTTACCCACCTACCTTCCTATCATTATTTACTATCATCTATCTATTATTATCTATTTATTCTGTATGGTGTATCAGTCAATCAATCAACCTATCAATCTTTTTATCTATCTAATTATGCATCCATTTTCTGCCTATCATCTATTTCTTATCTGTGTTTCTATCTATCCATCTGCTTCTCTCTCTCTCAATTGTCTCTCTGTCTAGCTAATTAACTATTATCAGTCTAGGTTTGTGACTTTGGATCTTGTGTTTAGGGTAGCTCAGTTGCTCAGCCTGGAGGTTCCAGCATGGCCTTTCTTAACCAATAGACCACAGTGGCAACCTCAGCTATAAGTAAGTCAGGGTCCACACAAGCTTGCAGTGGTTTGCTCTCTCGGCTGATTTCACTGGTGTTTTTTAAAAGAAAGTCTCTCTCTCTCTCTCTCTCTTGCTCTTTCATAGATAGACTAAAGGTAAACCCAGCCCATTTGGATTAAATCCTAAAATGCAAGACCCAATTTGAGTGACTTGAGGCGTACTCAGGTCCATTGCAGGAGGTAGACTGGATTGCTGGGGAGCGGCTCCCCAGGGTGTGCTCCTCAAGAGGCAGTGTGTATAATGGTTAGCAGCAAGGGCTCTACTGCTGGAAGGTCTGGGTTCACATCCTGATTGCCCATCTGCCACCTCTGTGACCTTGGACAAGTTACTGAGCCTTCCTCAGCCTCCGTTTTCTCATCTGTGACGTTAGGAGGGTGGGTTGGGAAGATGGAATGAGGCCATGTGTGCTAGGGAGAGTGCCTGGCAGGTGACTGAGTTCATGTGTGCAGGTGTTAGCTACCGTGGTGGTGTAGGAGAGCCCGACCAATGCTGCTGGGTGTCACTCTCCTCTGGAAACTCTGGGGCTGTGAGCCCCACATCACAGGCACGTCTGACTCTAGAGGAACAGGGGTGCAGGGGCTTGAGGCCACTGGACTCCATTCAGAGGGAACGAGGAAGCAGAGGCTGAAGCAGTGTTGTTCCCCCAACCCCATGCCTCTTGGGTCCTCAGGGACCCCATGCTGCGGTTGCTCACCTGTCCCAGCGACCTAACCTCCCTCTCGCCATGCTCCATCCACTCACACTCACCAAGCTCTCCCTGGCAGATATCAGTCCTGGTGGCTCCTCCAAGAATGAATTCCGGGTTTTTCACGATTTCCTGGAGGAAAGAGAGTGTTATTAGACTGAGACCTGCCATGCTGCAAGCCACCATGAAAGGCGGGCTCAGGGTCTCTGCTTTCTTGGGGCAGAGGGCTTTTGTCATGCTTGATTCTTTTCCCTGAGGAGGGCCACGGGAATGGAAAAGGCTGCCACCTCTCTATGCTCTGGACAAGCCTGGGCTCATCTTTGGTAATCTCCTCCCCTGGGGAGTCCTGCCTACTGAGCAGCACTCAGCACCAACCACTGGCCCAAGAGACTCTGGCCACACCTGGCCACAAAGTGGGACATCAGCCACACGCTGAGGATTCCTGTGCTCACTCAGGCACTGGGCTAGGAGTCCAGGGCTACCCCAGCTGTGAGCTCTGTGACCTCTGTGGGCTTCAACGAGCTGAGTAATGCATGCACCACAGGCTGGGGCCTTGGACTAAACACACTCCCCACCCACCCAGCTTCTCCAGTTTTTAATTTAATCCTTCCCTGCCAGTGGATTCCAAATATATATAGGTTTAGAGACAGAGTCTTGCTCTATCACCCAGGCTGGAGTGCAGTAACATGATCATAGCTCATTACAGCCTTGACCTTCTGGGCTCAAGCAATCCTCCCACCTCAGCCTCCCAAGTAACTGGGACTACAGGCATGAGTCACCATGCCCAGTTAATTTATAATTTTTTTTTTGTAGAGATGGGGGTCTCGCTATGTTGCCCAGGCTGGTCTCAAACTCCTGGCCTCAAGTGATCCTCTTGCCTTGGCATCCCAAGGTATTAAGGTAACAGACACATGCCACCCTGCCCAGTGTTTCTTTTTTTTAGATATGCAGTTAGGTGAAATTATATGTATCTATACCATATAAAGAGAGATATCCACGCATCTCTCATATGGTTTCACCGAAGTGGATTATATATACATATATATTATTCTATATTGCACATAAGCACATACATTATATTAATCTAATCGTTAATACATATTAATATATACATATACAAAATGGAGGGATATTTCATGAACAAAAAAGGGTAGAAAATAATCTTACGAAATGCATATATTTTTCCACCATTTGGGTTGCTGGGCTTCATTCCTGGCATTGGATGGCAGCAAAGAGAGAGGAAAAGCCCCCGCCCTCTTGGAGCTGCCCTGGATGCGGTGGACCGTGCTCGCGGAAGCCCCGCCCCTCCCATCTCCTGCCCCGCCCCTCCCCCAGCCGGCCTCAGGCCTGGCCTCACCCACGGTGCCCACTGTGCCTGCAGCTGCCACCACCTCCCAGAAGTGGTTGTTTTGTTCAGGAGAGTTTTGCAAATTGCATCTGAGGAGGAGACAAACCATAAACCAGGAGAGAAAAGAGCGAGGATGGAGAGGGAAGGGGTGGGATGGGGCAAGGCTAGCTACCGCAGTCTGCAGGGGAGGCGTCTCTAGGGGAAGCAGAGGAGCACAGACCTAAACAAAGGGAAGGAGGGAGGAAGCCGGGCCGGTCCCGGAAGAGGAAACAGCCAATCCTGTGACAGCGAGGCACGTTCTGGCTCACCCTGCAGGTGTGGTGAGTTAACTGGGCCGGGGCCTGCAGAGGAGTGAAGGATTTTTCCCCCCTCTCCCCACTTTTCCAGGCACCAGGACTGAGGAGGGGCCTGGGCTGGAGGTGGAAGGTTCCAGCAGTGTCTGGGCGGACGCCGCGTGGGGAGCTCAAGCTGCGCCACTTTCCCCGAGAGACCTCTACTTTGAATTGTCTTCCTCAGGCTTCTCAGGACCCTGCTTCTCCTCTGATCTTGTGTCCCTAAGAATCACAGGCAGGATAGAAATTTCTTTGAAGTCAAGGGAATTATCAGGACCAAGAGCAGAAGCTTCAAGTGCTGGTGCTCTCTCTGCATCTCCCAGGATGTGACAGCCTGGAGGAGTGACAGACACCAGGGGCGCCTGCCCAGGGAGAGCTATGTGCGGCATTAGTGTCTAGAATATTCAAGAAAGCTTGGCCAGGAGAATTTCTGAAAAACACGGTGTGTTTTTAGATGCACCAGGCCCAGCAGAAGTAAGGACCTCCCAAATGCTGGCCTCTCCTCTGCCAGGTCTCACACGTCTTTGCATTCCCACCCCCAGCTCCAGGTAGCCTTGGAGCCTTTTCATTAAATGACTCTGATCTCCACGGTGGCTGGAAAGGGAGTGAAGGTGGGGGGCAGCGCTCAGTTCTGGGGTCCTGGTAGACCTCTCTCATCTGTAGGAGGTACACTGCTGTTCTTCCTCCTGCACCTCAGCTAGCGCAGGAGTTTGCGGGTGGCTCTGAGCTGGGCCCATAAGGACAATGCAAACCAGGACCATGTTAGTGGGCCTCAGTAGAGTCCTAGCAATAGCCTGCCCCACTCAGCGGTGGGGCTCAGGGTGGACCATTTAACTTCTCACGGCTGCATCCTCATCTGTCGCCAGCTTAGACATTCTGGACTTGTTGCAGAATGTGCCTGCCCAAAGGGAACCCCAGGATTCCCCCAAGCCCTCCCTGTCTTGATTGCCCAGTCCCTGCCAGGGGATTGCCCTGGCGAGCAATGCCCCCACTGCCACTGCTACTCACTCCTCAAGTGGACATAAAATGGATTCCAAAAGCCACAGATGCCTGCCCAGCAGGCTGTACCGGCTCCTGGGGCAGGGCTGTTCCCGGATGCCCGCCTCCTTCCCATCCCCCCTGTCCCTCCCCTCCCCCAGCCTTCTGCAGGCCTGGCCCGGCTAACCGCACCAACTGTGCCTGCAGCTGCCGCCGCCTCCAGCTCCTGTCTTGCAATTGGTTGTTTTGTTCAGGAGAGGTTTGTTTCTGTTTTTGTTTTAAACCAAATCGCACCCAATGAGGAGAAAAATACAAAAGGAGAAAACTCAGAAACTCTCTCCAAGTAAACACAAATTAGTCATCGGGTATAAACTGGGGAGCTGACTGGATGTGTGACCGATTCCTCTGCGGGTCACTGTTTCTGGGAATTGGTGTGCACCCGGGCCAGTCGCAGGGGGTTCTGCGGACGCATGTGTGGAACGGCAGCTAGGCCATGGGCCTGGGAGTGGTGTGTATGTAACGGCCCACATGCCCACATGTGCAAGGTGCCTGTGACTTGCCTTAGTGTGTGTGCCCAGGTGGGGTACACGTCTGTGCCTGTGCATGCTCCACATGTTGTGCTGGTTGCCTGTGCACTGGGGAGCATCGTCTACGCGTGAGTGTCCTGCATGTGCATGTCGATCCTGGATGTACATTTGTTCCTGTGAACTGTTGTTTGGGAGGCCATGAGAATGGGGTTACTTGAAGCTACAGTCCTGTTATAGGATGATCATAGGTGTCTCAATTGCAGGGGTCTTGACAAACCTGAAGTGAACCCAGACTGCTGCCTGGAGATGCCTGAATCCCTGAGGGAGGCACGCAGACCCCTCCCTCGCCCTCCCCCGCCCTCCCCCGCCCCACTGCCAGGTGGTTTTCCTGGAGCACTAGGGGCCGGTCACCCTGGAATGTTTGCTTTCAGGGACTGTTCTGTTTACTTTGTACATCATCGCGGCTCAGCTGAAGACACAGACTTTCTCTAATTATCAGCAATCTTCGCTTCCATCTCACCATTACAGGCGATATTCCTGTCCTTTCTTCTCCTCCCTCCTCTCCTTCCTCTTCCCTTCCTCCTCTTTCTCTCTTCTCCTCCTCCTCCTTCCTCCTTCTCTTCCTCCTTACTCTCTCTTCCTTCCTCTCCTTCCCTCTCTCTTCCTTTTCCTTCCTTCCTTTTTTCCTTCTTCCTCTCTCTTCCTTTTATTCATTTCATCCTTTTTCACAATGGGCCTTCAGTGAAGAAAAGCCACATTTCTAGCAAGGTCTGGAGATGCCAGACGCTGCCGTTCATAGCTGTCTGCTCATCCCTGTCATGTGCCTGGCACTATGGAGGCCATGGGGCCTTTGGGGCTGTCCCAGAACAACTGACAACCCCTTCTGGGGGTCAGGGGAGCAGCACAGGGAACAGTAAGCCCACCGTGCAGGAGAGGCTGTGGTCACGTCCCACGCTGTGCACAGGTCTGCCGGGGGGTTGTTCACACGGGCTAGAGGGGTGTGGGCACTTTCAGGGAGGTGTCCTGGATTTACACTGAGAATTGGGAGAGGAATTGCCTGGCCAAAAACAGATGGGTACAGACAAGGAGGGCTGGACTGCATGGTGGCTGCTCCCCATCAGGCTGGGAGATCCCACCCGATACTCCCTCCTCTTCTTTCTGTGCACCCGCTTACACTCAGGTACACAGCTCCTTGCATGAGACCTGGGGGTGATGTCACCTTCTCTCCAGGTTGAGCCTATCACCTCTCTGCCTCCCAGCCCCTCCCAGCCAGTTCCCTGAGTCACCCCCTCAGTGCACTCCTTGCCCTGGGCTCCCTGGAGGGCAAGCCTGGCTGTCCACTGCCCTCCAATGTCCCCTTGGCTTTGTGCTCTGCCCACCCTCCCCAAGCACAGCTGTGTTTGACAAGAAGGTGGTGCTGGGGAGGAGGGCCCTCAGCCCCACGGTCCCACGGGCTGCTGAGACATGCACCGCGTAGTGCTGAGCCCCACTGCAAACCATGCCCAAGCCACAGAGGTCTGCAGGGAACTTGGTAACGCTTGTGATTTCCCTGTGGCCCGCTGCCCCCGACCCCCTGTGACTCATGCGGCAGAGAGAATCTCCATGCTCATCCTCAGCCCTTTTGCTCCTGATTTTACAGAAATCTGTAAGATACAACATAAAGCCCCTAACTCCCCTAATTAAGAAACAGATAGGGGTGCGGGAATGAGGACCAGACCAAAGGGACAATCTCAGTTGCAGACAAAGGAAAAGGCAGAACAGATTCTGAAAATGAGTCCGTGGGAACAACAGCAACATAGTAGACCTGGGTTAAGATCAGGAAAGGGTCTGCCCTGGGTGGAGACAGTGGGATGAGGAAGGGACAGAGGGCTGGTACAGGGGCATGGGCTGGGTGGCAGGTCAGGGTGCATCTTGGCAGGGGCTTGTGTGTATCAAGGGCCCTGGCCTATGAATGAAGGCCTCACCCAGCATTGGGAGCAATGCCAGAGGAGATAACACTAAGGAAGACAGCCCCTTGGAGCGGGGATCTGGGACTCTAGAGTCACTGGGCAGGCCTTGGTGGCCCTGGTCCCAGAAGGGGAGACTCTAAAGGGGGAGACAAAGATGCCCTCCATGCTGGTTTGTGTGCCCAGCTTTTATCTTGGAGAATTCTAACTTTGACAAAAAGGAGGTGAGTTGTAGAGTACAGATTATACTTTAAACTAAGTGACATCAAGACAGACTGCGAGGACGGGGACCCTCCTAGAGTCGGGAGGCAGTGGTGTTAGGTTGCAATGACAGCAGTAGAAATAACAAGGACTGGCACTGATTCTTTACACACCAGGCTCTTTGCTAAGTGTGCTACTCATGCTAACGCAGCTGACCCTCATGAGGACCCCGTAAGTTGCGTTATTGTCCCCATTTTAAGGAAGAGAAAAAGTGCTTCCAACCTTTTCATATCAAGCGCCTGTAGAGAACATGAACATTTATACAACACCCTGGATCAAACAGAAAGAGCTGCTGCTTCCAGTCAGGGGCTCCGCTCACCGGGAGCCCAGGAAATCCGTTTTTCTGGAACTCTATTTCTCAGGACTCCTGACATCAACTGCAGGGAAATTTCCGCCCATAGTTAAAAATGCACCCATAGCCTGCAGCCTGGGCGGCTGCCCACGCGCCCATTTGTTCATGTGTTGAGGCCGGAAATAAGCCCAGGGAGACCTAACAGTCACGGGCAGAGGGTCAGAGGTCACTGTTTTATGTCTTGTAACTTGTGCTTTTTTATTTTGGAAATGTCCTTTTTCTTACTTAGCAAAGCATGATCTACTAATCCTGTCTGTAAAGTGCAACCCCACATGATCTGCCAGTGCCCTGACCTCACACTGCAATTGGCCATATGCAGAGAACCAAAACCAATCACAGCGTGGCTTTGGGTTGTGGTGTGGTGAGGAAGGTGCCTGGGAGCTTTCACCCCAACTCTGATAGGGCCACTGAATGCTCACTGTGACTTCCCCACGAACATGGCACCTTGTGGGATCAACTACCCGGCGGGTGAAGATCAAGGCACCTGTGTGCCTATGCCTGCAGTCACTCCGCCACCCCCGCCCCACACATATGTATATGCATATCCACGCACGTGTGCACACAGTCACACACATGCACACACATAGTCAAATTCCTACACACACAAGTGCATGCACACGCACGCACCCCACACTGCCTACCGCAGGAAACAACAACAAAACACTTACCGCTTCGGAAACAGCCGCTTAGGTTTACCTTGGCCCTGCCCATGAAGAGCCCAGAGGTTTTGTGAATGTGCATTAAAAAAAACCTTAAATCATCAACATTATTTTAATGTTGGGAGATAGAGAGGAGGTAGTTATGGTGAGTCCTCTGCTACTCATATGTAAGATGAGACTCAGAGCTAATCATCATCATAATGATAATAATAGTATCAGTGATAGTAATAATGTGACAATAGCTGTAATGTACTGGAAACCTTCTGTGTGCTAGACATTGGGCTGCGTTAGTCATTATTGTTTCCATTTTACAGGTGAGGAGACTGGGGCTCAGGGAAATTAAGTGATATGACTATATGCATAAGACAAATTGGCAGGATAAGACGGGCACTCAGGATCTCACCTGTAGGACCAGCATCCCTTGTACTGCCCCTCCTTGCCCAAAAGCCACCTGACCCCACGGTAGCCACTCCCAGGCCCGTACCCACCCGGAGGGAATGGAGGCCAGCCCAGCTGGCGCCGGGTCAGAGGTAGAGCCCTGACTAATCCAGCGCCGCAAATATTGACATGGTGTTTCAGGCACAAGCTGGCACCTCTTGGGACCCAGTGACCAGCTGGTACCTCTTGGGGAGAAACCTGCAGACTGTCAGAGGTGGGGCACTGTTCACCCTGATCTCTGGGAATGGGGGAATGCATGATTCTGAGGAGGAGATTCCTGCTTCCCTTGTATTCCATCTGTCACATAGTTGCTGAGACCTTGCTGAGCTAAACATCCATCCACGCTGAGCACCCTCAGCTCTGGGCCAGAAGCCACAGAACACTGTACATACGTGATCTCAGTGTTACCACACACACAGGGTGGGGGCCTGTCCTTGTGAATAAGGTTTTGATTCGTGCCTATCACCTGCTGACAAGACCCGCTCTGACTCCAGGTCCTCAGCCTCGGTGGGAGTCAGAGAGCTTGAGGCAGGGGAGGGAGTACAGCCAGATGCCCCAGGCCCCCACCGCAGAGTATCCCAGGCCTGTATATCATTTTCTGCCTCCAAACTTCAAAGCTTTCCACAGTAGACTGGGGTGATGCACCTCAGTTGCACTGAGCGTAGCCGGCTCCTCCCAGCTCCCGTTTCCACTTCCTGCGCGAACTTCTGAGCCTCAGCGTCATCTGTGCTCCTTCCCCTGCTCGCCCCACTCACCCCTGGTCGTTTCCACACAAAGGGGACCTGCGGCCTCTCGCTGTAGAACAGGGAGGAATTGCTGGCCGGAAAGTCTGCATCCTCAAAAAGGGTGCCTCTCTGCAGGCACTCCTGCCTCAGTTGCTCAAAGCTCTGGCCTGAGGAGTGGGTGGTCCGGGCGTCCTTGGGAACCGGGTGTGCCTGGGGCCCTGGGGCCCGGTAGAGGTAAGGCATAGCTGCTCCCTGGAAGGCCGGCTTGGGCCCGGCAGTGGATGGAAAAGGAAGTGAAGGAGCGAGCTGTGTGTGCCGGTCAAGAAGGAACAGCTCAGAGGGCTCCTGGGCTGAGTGGCCCTCACCTCCACCTGTTTTCTGGGCACCTCCCTGTTAGACTGAGATGGGACACGCCCTGATGGAAAACAGCAGAGAGAGCCCTCTGTCCACTCCGTGCTCCTGCAGACCCAGAGGCAGCTCTGGGGCCTGGCACGTTCCACTCAGAGGCGGCACCTCTGCGTAGTGCACTCAGGGGGCCTAGTGGGAGAGAGAGGATTGCTTCAGAAGGAAAAAGAGCAAGAAACCCAACTGGTCCAGGAGGTGGCTTTATGGAGAAGTGCACGGTGTGGTCTTGAGTCACATCTCCTACATCAGAGAATGGCAGAATTTTGTAGTCGGAAGGGAGCTTGGTGAATGAAAACAGGATGTATTATGTGAACACAGCTGGCACAGCTCCTGCACAGGCAATCCCATAGTGTGTAAGAGCTGGGGTCAGCAAACTTTTTCTGTAAAGGCCCAGATCATGAATATTTTCAGCTTTGTGGGCCATACAAAGTCTGTACTGCAACTGCTCAACTTTGCTGTTGTAGTGACAGAGCAGCCATAGATGTGACACAGATGAATGGGTGTGGCTGTGTTCCAATAAAGCTTTATTTACAAAGGCAGGTGGGGGGCAGATTTCTTCCAACCTGACCCCTGATAGAGGACGACTCACAGAGGACATCTGCTCCTCCTCTAGGGCACATGTGCCTCTCTAGTTCTCTAATAAAGTTCCTTGTTGTTACAGTCCCGCAAATAGGATCTCACATCTGAGAAAAAACAAATGTTAGAGGATGGAGGTGGTTTGATAAATGTGTTTGCCTATAGAAATGATTAATACAGGCTGGGTGTGGTGACTCACACCTGTAATCCTAGCATTTTGGGAGGCCAAGGAGGGTGGATCATCTGAGGTCAGGAGATCAAGACCAGTCTGGCCAACATGATGAAACCCTGTCTCTACTAAAAATACAAAAAATCAGCCAGGTGTGGTGGTGGACGCTTGTAATCCCAGCTACTCGGGAGGCTGAGGCAGGAGAATCCCTTGAACCTGGGAGGTGGAGGTTGCAGTGAACTGAGATCGTGCCACTGCATTTTAGTCTGGGTGACATAGAGAGACTTTGTCAAATAAATAAATAAATAAATAAAAATAAAAAAGAAAGAAAGATAAAAGAAAAGAAATGATAAATACTGGAAGGGATAGATTGCCTAAATACCCCAACTTGATGTCACACATTCTGCACATGTAACAAAATAGCACATGTACCCCAGCAATACGTACAAATATTATGTATCAATAAAAATAAGTAAACAAAAGTATTAGTCACCGTGTGAAAACCCTGATGTTCTAAGCACTTTATAATGATTTCTGTGTGATTCTCTAACTAGTCAAAGTTGGGGTTTGGAGACAAGGGGTCTTGAGTTAATGGGTGCAGTTAAAAGGCCATGATGTGAATTTTTATATAAGCTCTCAGTTCCCAGGAATGTGCACTCAGTCTGACACACGTTCTCTCTAGTAGATCCTGCATATGGTTTTACAGGGGAGGGGTAGACATTAGAGTTGGGGATATTTGACTTTCACTCTGCTATGGCCTGATTGCTTGTATTCCCCCCAAGATTTGTATGTTGAACCCATACCCTGCAAAGTAATGGTATTAGAAAGTGGGACCTTTAGGGGGTGATTAGGCCAGAAGGGTGGAGCCCTCATGAATGGGATTGGTGCCATAATGAAAGATTAGGTCCAGAGAACCCCCTCCTCCCTTCCACCATGTGAAGACACAGGAACCACAAAGTAGACCCTTACCAGGCATGGCATCTGCCAGCGCCTTGATCTTGGACTTCAGCTTCCAGAACTGTGAGCAACACATTTCTGTTGCTTATAAGCCATCCTGTCTGTGCTGTTTTGGTATAGCAGCCTGAATGAACTAAGACAAATTCCCAGTTTTGCCTGAAGTGATCTTGAGCGAGTTATCCATGTTGTCTGTCCCTGCTTCCGAGCTGTGAATCGGGACAATCGGTGCTGCCTCCTAGAGGCATGGCAGGTTTGTGGAAACAAAGCCACTTGCAGAGTCGGGCACATGGAGGGGATCAGGCGTTGCTGGTTCCTCCCTTTCCCCTATCGTCTCTGCACCCCCTGCCCCTCCCACAGATGCTGACTTTCATGGTCTCCTTCTGAGCCTGACTTGCCTCAACTTGTGTCTCTTTGTTTGCACAATGAGGGACTTTGGAACTTGGGGTCCTCTGGCTGGGACCAGAGTGCAGTTCTGGCCCATCCAAATGATTCTTGGCTAGAGATGATGGAGCTGCCCACGAGCATCGCATTGCCCGCTGCCCTGGCAGATGGCTCTGGTTCGAAGTGATTAAGGAGGGCAACCTGGGGAGACAGGTGTGGCAACATAAGGGCCATCTGGTGAAACCTCGGCAGGGAAACGATTACCAGCCCAGATCTCTGAGAACATCCCCTTCAAATGCTCCAGCAACTGAGAAAGGACCTTGAAGTACATTTCAGCACTGTCCAGAGTGGGTCCAGCACCGGACCCACTCCCAGCTTCAGGGATTTACGTTCTCATTCTCCTACCGATAGAAACTCCTCTCCAGGCTGGGGTCTTGTCCTTCCACCTGGGACTCTCTATGCATTGGAAGAACCTGGCTTTTCCTTTAGAGCTTTATTATAGTTGCTAGGTAATCAGAGAATCGCATCGTCATTGTGAGTAAAGCAAACATGCCTCAGAGTAGGAAACACACCAAAAAGGTTTAACAATCCTCCAGAACCACAGCTGGAATTCCTCCTGCCCCTTGGCTCTCTGGGACTCTGAGAATGTCTGCGGGAGCCAGTGCATCCTCAGGATTTACATCTTCATCATTCTTCCTGCCCAAAGTCGGCCCACAGAGCCCTGGGCGCATCTTTCCTGCAGAGCTCGTGGCACCGGACTTCTCCATGACTTTGTCTTAGTGTCTAACCCTGCTCCCAGCTCAGCCCAGCGCGGGGCAGGAGCATGATGCACATTTGCCGAGTAAAATTGAACCAGTGCCCCAAGCCGATAGCGTTCTTGGGTCTCTCCGTTTCGTTTTCCAAACCTTCACTTCTCAGGATGAACAACAGTTACAGAAACTGCAACCACACAGTCTGAGGCCTACTAGGCCTTGCACACTTCCTCACCCACACTGGGAAAGGGAAAGGGCTCTGAGCTTGGGCAGAGAACCATGTGCACTGCTTTTAATAAGCTCTGCCCGCTTGTCACCAGCCTAGAGACACACGCAGCTTTGAGCCAAGCAGGGACCGTACGTCAAGCGTATTTTCCTCTCTTTAGCAAAGCAATCTGCTGGAGCAATTTCTACACGAAGTGAACCTGAGCCGGCAGCTGGGGCCTTCCCGGCCTCTCTTTCCTGTGCTGTTCTTTCTCTCTCCTCCACACTCAGGCCTGCAGCAATCTCCCTTTGTTGCTCTCCTTCTTGTTCATCTCGCAGGGCGGCAGGGTGTGAACATAGTGCCTGCGTGGCTCTGGGATGCCATGAGGCAAAACCCCAAGGACAAACGCTCGGAAGTTTCACATGGATGCAGGGAGACGACCCCGAGAACTCCAGCCGGTCCAGGCCTTACAGCAGGGCCCAGGTTTTGAGGGATATACCAAACGGCCTGGATCCTGCAGAGGGGAGTGTCCTATTTTCCACCCCTATGATGGGCTGAGAGTGAGCCTGCCTGGCTGCAGTGTTTGTGGCCCCTTGGCTTGTAGTGTGGAGGACGGGGTGGGCTGGCGAGGAGGGGGGAGAGTGGAGAGGCAGGGGACCTGCACAGGTGTCCAGGTGAGAGGGGCTGAGGCTAACTCCAGATGTAACCGGAGTGAAGGCGGGACAGGGACAGATTCTTCCAGGAGAAGTACTGTCGGTGTTCTGCTGGGGTGCAAGGATGGAGGTGTGAGGGTGGCGTCCTGCTTTCAGACTTAAGCAAATGGGTGATGGTGGTGACAGGAGGAGGAGAGGCAGACTTGGAAGAAAAGTGGAACACTTTGGATATGTTAGGAGTAAGACAGCCGGGCGCGGTGGCTCACACCTGTAATCCCAGCACTCTGGGAGGCCGAGGCAGATGGGTCACCTGAGGTCAGGAGTTCAAGGGCAGCCTGGCCAACATGGTGAAACGTTGACTCTACTAAAAATACGAAAAATGAGCCAGGCGTGGTGGGGGCGCCTGTAATCCCAGCTGCTTGGGAGGCTGAGGCAGGAGAATTGCTTGAACCTGGGAGGCAGAGGCTGCAGTGAACTGAGATCGAGCCACAGCACTCCAGCCTGGACAACGAGTGAGACTTCATCTCAGAAAGAAAAAGTAAAACACCCTCCTACTTGCTGGTGGGGGTGTAAATTGGTGTCTCCTTTTTGGAGAACTATTTGTGAATACCTCTCAGAGCTACCAATGCACCCACTCTGATCCAGATATTTCCTTTCTAGAAATTTATGTTTATTCTGACGATAGAACCGCATCCCAAAAAGTGAAAGGTATACCAGGTTGTTCATTTCATGGTGGCATTGTTTATGTTTAAAAAAACAAGTTGGAAAGCACTTAGTGTCCTCTATTGGGGGAATGGTAAAGAAAATTATGGTCCAGCTAATCACGAAGTGGAACAGTATACAGCCATAAAACGGAAGAAGGAAACTCTGCATACACTGATGTGGGAAGGTCCCTGGAACACAGTGTTCAACTGAAAAGCTGAAGTGGCCAGGCGCAGTGGCTCACGCCTGTAATCCCAACACTTTGGGAGGCTGGGGCAGGCAAATCATGAGGTCAGGAGATCGAGACCAGCCTGGCCAACATAGTGAAACCCTGTCTCTACTAAAAATACAAAAAATTAGCTGGGCGTGGTGGCGGGCGCCTGTAGTCCCAGCTACTTGGGAGGCAGAGGCAGGAGAATTGCTTGAACCCGGGGGGTGGAGGTTGCAGTGAGCTGAGATGGCACCACTGCACTCCAGCCTGGCGAGAGTGAGAGACTCTGTCTGAAAAAAAAGAAAATTCAAAAGACAGAATGGCATGTAGGGTATGCCAGCATTT